TGCCAGGAGTGTCTCTTTTGCATCTGCAGCTAGATCATGCATGGAGCCATTCGAGCACCCGTAAATTTGTCATTCTTGCTCATGCATATGTTCCATCTCAGGTTTGAACTCCACTTCCGGTTCCAGTTGATCGTCGATCCAGTCTGTTTCTGTATCATCGATCAGGTCCATGTCCTGCGATACCACAATTTCATCCAAACCTACTAATGAGTCCGTCACGTCGTCCAATACGGTCTTGTCTACGACAAAATCTTCACCGTACGGGATGTATTTCTTGTTATTCCTTTCACTCTTGCACTGTCGCGTCTCCATGGTCGAGGAAAAGTCGGGTTGTCAACTTCAGTCTGCTCTGGGTCGTTCCACTCCTCCACGGCATAAGGTAGGGTTTCGTCATCGACCTCTACTCGCTCAGTTAATTTTAAGTCCAATGGCAAATCACAGTCATTCACCACCTCATTCCCGTCGTTCTTGTCGCGTGTACCCCTCTCATTCACTTCACGAGCGGTATCCACTGTCAATAGTCTTCCTCATGCATGTCAGCCGGGACGAACCAGTCTTCCGATGAGGCATTGTGCGGTCCTCGTACTGAGCAGCGCATTCTGAGCTCAATCGATAGAAACGACCACCTCGGTGCACTTCAGTTATTTGAAATGGACCATGCCATTCCTCAGCCACTTTTTAGTTCCCTTTGGGGAACCACCCCAGGAAGACCCAGACATGCTTTGGCGTCTGCTCTCCTTTTATCCAATCCTCTCTCCTGCCTAATTTGGGCCTGCTGCGGTACAACTCATTCAATTTTTGTTGCCTTTTGATGACGTCACGTACGTCTGCGGTGCTGTTTTTTCCCTCGTGTTCAGGATAAAATAATGTTATCGAGAGAGATTTATCGTGGCCTGTCACGTACGTCTGCGGTGCTGTTATTTCCTTCGTGTTCAGGATAAAATAATGTTATCGGGAGAGATTTATCGTGGCCTGTTTATCATGTGTGCGCTGATTCCCGTTGTTGAGTGTTCAGTGTTTTGTACGCGCCCATCACCTGCGGCATGTGCTTATCCCAGTCGTCCATGCATCGTGAGCAATAAACCCTTAGCATGGAGAACAGTGTGCAATTTTGGCTCTCGAAAGACCATTCGTCTGCGGTTGATAAGTCGTCGAGTGGGCCTGCGCTACTTGCGACCTCATGGTCAATTCCCGACGAATGCTTTGCCATTGTTAGACTGGAACTTGATCGGGCACCCGTGTCTGGCGATCCAGACATTTATCAAATGATCACATGTTTCCTCCGCTAATGCCATCATTCAGTATACTGCCACTACGTTCTTTGTGAAACAACCGATCATTACCAGCATTTGGTTAAAGCCCGTGGCCGTCATACAGATTTTCTGATGATCGATTTGTACCATTATATTGAGTCCCGGCGATTCTATCGATTGCAGGAGAAATCTCAGCTTCCTGGGGTCCTATGCTTCTTGACATGAGAGTTATGCAGAAATCCGTTTTTCACAGGCCTTCTTCAAGCCAGGCCATTCATAACGCTTCTGTATCTGCTTATACACTTTTTCCACGCTTTGATTACCCATCTGGCCATGTGAGCCAAACAATAGCTCAGTTTGATACAGCTGTGGTATGATTATTGAATTAAACTTGTAAACGTCTTTGTCTTCTTCTTTGTGCTAGCAGGCGACGATCCCGTCTTTCTTCAAGTACAACAAATCTCTTCTCATCATATAAAGTTGCTTCAGGATCTTGTAGTTGTTTTCTTCTAGGTCACCTTTGTCGGGCACTCCGTTTTCTATCGATCTCTTTAAGTTGCTTGTCATTCTATCATTTTGCTGAGCCCTTAAAAGATCCGACAGTGGCTACCTGGCTTTCAAATATGTCTTCATCGCATTTGGTTGTTTGCTGAATATTTCCGGAGCATGGGCATTATTTTAACTTTCTTCGTGCCACCTCTTGCCCCAAGTGTTCGAGAATGGTACGAACGGCCGTAGTATGCGGAAATATTCTAGCCTGACGCTTCGACACTGCTATCAACTCAAATTCGTTTGCGGCATGATCGATTACAGTGCCTTCCTCCTCGGAGGTATGTCTGTCTGGGTCTTGATGCATCTCTGTATCCAACCCGCGCAGTTTCCATTGCACTAGTACGAAAAGAATCGCTATCTCTGACGCGTTCGAATTGGAGGTTGTTTAAGACACGTTCGCCCAGGGTTGAGACTTGGAACTGTCACTCGAACTGATGGAGTCTGTACAGTCGCCTTCAGACTTACTCTTCAGGTTCCTAGACTCCCCAGACAAAATTCTATCACTCGGTCGTCGTGGCAATGACTCCCCGCACAAATTATTCCGGCCTGGCATGATGAAGCCCGACACCCTTGACCTTTCCGCGTCTTGATCAGTTTCCTTAGTTGACGCTCCGGACAATGTCTCATCTCCGGATGAACAGTCCGAGCACGGATTGTACTCCTCTTCTGAATCAACGAACTGAACCCTCCTTGCCATACTGGATTGCAGTTCGACACTGACCACCTCAGTGGTCTGAGTGCTGGTCAGTTGTTGAAGTTCAGTGTATGATGATCTCAACAGGAAATCCTTCGGTATCGAATGGACCAGATGCTTTACTATTTATTGGCAATCCCGTTCAACATCTCGACTCCGGATCGCTACCGGTCTTGTCTCTATCTTTTCTGTGATGGTCTCCGCATGGTTTGCATCATTTCATATCCTGCCTTTCAACTTATCTGTCAAGTAGTTTGCGGAGCTTCCGCGTGACGTCCGGTGCAATGCTCACCATTTCGTTTAGCAGCGCTAATCTATTGATGCCTAACCTGGTAAGTTCTTGTTGTATCAGGTTGGAGCGCGCTAACAAGTCCAACGGAACCGGTTCATCCCTTGCCAATACCTTTATCTCCTCAGCTCTCTCAGCAGGAATTTTGGGGTGTCCTGGTATGGGATGCCCTGATTGTAAAGCCATTTGGTGAGTGGCAGCTTTTTATAGGTGTCTTTATTCGAAAAGAAAAAACCAACCTTAATCTCTACAAGGTTAGCTTGTTTCTCTTCCAGTCGCTCAAAAAACTCCGTAATTTTACTGAGGCTGTCGGCATTTTGGTGTTTGTCACGGTTTTAGGTGCTCTTTACTCATGTCGTAGCCATCCACGCGTACAACGCAGCGACCCATGTAGCTTTGATCCTTCGAATAAGTTTTCAGCCATGTGAGAGCTCAATTGTCTACGCGCAATTTAAGAGAAGCGCTCCCTAATAGGCTCTATATTTTTCCACGAAAATAATTACTGCGAACATCTCCGCCTTTGGTGCGACGTATTTCATCTCAGTATCGCTTAGAACTTACCCATAAGCTAAGGGTCGGAGAACAGTCCTCCCCTGCCATTCTTGTTCCTTATGGAGTATGCCCGGGCAGCGGCCACTAATGCATCCGTCTCCAACTTGAACAACCTTTTCTCAGTCGGCATGCCGAGGACCGGAGCCTCGAAAAACTCTCGTTTGATGTTCTCAAAAGGGACTTGAGCCTCATCAGTCCAGCTGAAATCCTTGCGCTTGTTCCGCATCAATTTCTGCATTGTTGGGTATATGTTGTCGGTAAATTTAGCGAAGCCGAGAAGGCTCAACATATGTATATCGGTCTTATTGAGTCCCTCAGGATGTCACACTTGGACGGTCTACATTTCAAGCCAGCCCGTTTGATGAAGGTAAAGACTTCGTCTAGCCTCTCTATGTGATCTTGTAGGGTTCGTGTTGGCAGTCCCAGCTCACACAAAAAGCCTATTTTTTGCCGTTCCTGTTTCCTGTAGGGCGCTTGCAAGAATGCAGAGGCTAGATCTAACGTCGTGAAGAATTTAATGTCTCCCAACTTCGAGGGATTTTCATCGATGCGAGAGATCGGTATGCATCTTTTATCGTTACTGCAATCAGAATAGCAATAAAACCTAAGTGGCTCCCTTTCTTCTTAGCCATGACCACGCCGCAGGCCTACGTGGATTTTGATGGTTCAACAAAGTCATATTCTATTAACTCTAACTCTCAATTTCTTTCCGACATGCCTCTGACTTGTCTGGGTTCATTCTCCTATCTCCTTACCTGTGAGATACCGAGCCCTCCTCAATCTCAATCTCATGTTCCAAGAAAATCCCACAACCTATGTCAGCTTTGTGTTTTGATTCAACACTTCTCTGAGGGAGTCCAGTTCCTTATCCGATGTTTTGCCTTTCAGAGGCTCTATCTCAGATAAGACTGCTTTATTTGCTGCTAATTCTGTGTTTGTCGGCCTCTCAGAGAAATGTATGTATGTAGACTTTCACCCTCCTGGTTCAAGGGGTATGTCCTCTCCCCTGACCATGGACGTGGTGCATATCCTTAGGTGCCTTGCTAAGTTTGACGCGGATTTCCTCTCGTTACATCTCGGACATATAGTCCATTTCTGTTTGTATACGCGGGGTTGATGGTGTTGTTCATTTGCTTCTTGTTCTGGTACCCGTTTTCCCTTGCAGTTCTGTCTTTTGTGGCATGCCATGTTTCGGGCCTGTAGGGTTCTGTCGCATCTGCCACATGTCTTGGTTCCATCTTCGTTGTTCGTGTCTCCCTCGCATGTCTTCTTGTGGTTTTTTCCGAGTTTTCAGATTTGAAGATAGCTCCGCATTTGTTGCATGCCAAAGTCACCCTCGCCTCTTTGTGCATCCTTTTGATATGGATTCTCAGGCCGCCCTGTTTTTTGAAATCCCTTTCACATATCTCACACGTGTTCGATGTTGCTTGGGGTGTATAGGAGATTCTTTCTGTCGTTTCACCGTTTTGTCTTTTCGCATTTGACTTTTCCCATTTATGCAGGTGCTCCATTCGTGCTCTCACCCCTCGCCTCCATCCGTTTGTGTCCTGAGTCAGTTTGTCTATCTCTTTCACATCCATTCTCGCTTCTCTGTCGAGCTTCCGCCAGTAGAGTAGTGTTTTGTCTTTTTTTCCCGGACGTTTTTTCCCAGCTGCTTTAGTCAATCTTTTTTTTTGTCCATTCTCATTACATGGCCTATTCGTTTTAGAGTTCTTCCTTCAACTTTCCATCGGATCGTCTTGATGTTCAGTTGGTTTCTGATGTCCTGCATAATCACTCCTTTTTCTTGCATTTCAATTAATGGCGGCTTCGACTTTGAGCTCCAGACGTGCCTATAGCACCGGTCAATGAAACTTTGCAAAGACTGTAACTCCGAGTTTTTCCATGTCCTTACGTTGGCGTCAAACAATAAGCCGCTTTCTACGCAGCATTGGACAACTCTAGCCTGGATTCTTTTCGGCAGCCTGCTCTTTGTCAGCCGGCGCTTGACCTTTGCCCATAGTCCTCCTGCTCGTCTTTTTCTGTTCTTAATGTCTTGTTTCGCCCCGATCCACACTCCTAGCATTCTGATGCCACCTGCTCCGTCCTTTCCGAATTTTAGTTTCTCTTCTTTTTCTTCGTTGTTTTTCTCCTCAAAGTTCTTCATAACTTCTTTTATTGTTGCTGTTACAGACTCTATTTCTTCCTTCTCGCCGATGGGGGTGGTGTCGTCTGCGAACAAGGACAATGATATTTGTGCGGTTTGCGTTTCAGTGTTGTGCGTTTCTACCATGTTTTTTCCTGGGAAGTGGTTTTCCGGCATCCACGTCCACGCTATCCTGACGTTTGTACCTTTCTCCTCGGTTCCGTCTAGTCTGGCTTTCTCAGCTTGCCGCATTACCACTTGGTGGTATTTGTTAAACAATGAAGGCGAAGATGGGCAACCTTCTCTTAACCCTCTTTCGGGGGTCCATTCTTCGCTGTCGCCCTCTTTGCCCTTTATACTATAGGTTGTGGCTTCATGCAAATCCATCAGTGTGTCCAGAAACGGGCCTTCCATCGCGTAGCGCCTAAAGATTGCCCAGAGGACCGGTTTGCTGACCCGCGGATAAGCTTTTGTTAGGTCTATAAGTCTGGCTTCTCGGTCTGTGTTGACTTCTACTGAGATTCCGGCTCTTATCCTCCGTCTCCTGAGATCTTCCACGTCCTCTCTTATCCTTATGAAGATCAAGCTTGCGTCTGCCGTGGACCTGCCTGGTCGAAACCCGCTTTGGTTTTCGTCCAATATCTGGAGTTCTTCGCTCCATGTTCTCAGGTGGTTTGCGATCCTTCTTGCTAGAATTCTACTAGCCATTGAGAGCAGGCACACAACTCGCAAATTGTTGGCGTCATTGATGTTCCCTGTTTTGTGCAACAGTACTATTTGGCCTTTCTTAAGAGACTCTTCCCACAGGTCTGCTCTGGTCGTGAACATTCTCATCACCAGGTGGATGACTTTCTCCCTCCATTTCCAGTATGCGTTGCGAATGTATACCATGCGGACCCCGTCCTTGCCTGGCGCCGATTCTCTCATCTCATCCAGTGCTTCCATGATTTCTTTCTCGGACGGAAGGGTGTTCAGCTTCTGGTTGGCTGTTATGAACTTGACGTCTTTGCTTTCATCTGGCATCTGTTTGACTGTGTTCATCAAAGTACCCGGGTCGTTCTCATTTCGGTCCTTCGATACGTTGCTGAAGTGGGCCTTGAATTCGTCAGTAGAGATAGTGGTGCCTGTCTGGTGTTTCTGTGATCTTGTTCCCAGTTTCCTTAAAGTTTTGTACATGGTACCCATGTCCCCTTTCTCCGCTGCGTTTTTGCACTCGATGATGATTTCGTCCCACCATTGTCTTTCTAGTTGTCGTAGGCGTTTCTTCATCTTCTTGCGTGCGGCTACCAGTCTTCCTCTTGATGCCGTTAGGGCATCGGCAAGCATGCCATGTGATTCTCCAAGTGTTTGGCTGATCAGCTCGTTTCTGCGCATTACTTCTGTTGAGATTTCCGTGTGTAGGCTTCTCAGTTCTTCTTCGTATCCCACTGTCCACGGGTTGGCTATCTTTCGTTTCTTTGTGCCACATACTTCCTCCGCTGTCTCTGTGAGCTTCCGCGATATGGAGTCCCAGTCATTCTTTTTGTTGAGTTTTCCTCCGTCTTCTTGCGGTATGCTTCCGCCATTTCTTTGTTTCTCATGCGTTCCCAGTCTATCTGCGGTGTTCTTTTCTTTTCTATACTGGGTCGCTGCTTTTTTTGTTCTCGCCATATGTCAATCCAGACGGGTTTGTGGTCCGATAATGCCATGTCCTGCGCCGTGGCTACCCTACGGACCATTTGGTGGCGGTCGGATGCTCTCATTAAGAAACCGTCGAGCTCGTACCAACGTCTGTGCATCTGGTTGAACCATGTTCCTCGGGAGCGTATTGGGAAGTAGGAGTTGACATGTTGTAGCTGGTGTTCTTCGCACCAATCCAGTAGACTTTCTCCAGCTTCATTTGTCTCTGTCTTTAGGCCGTACTTCCCACTTATGCCCTGTCTTTGACTCCCTCTTCCAACTTGCGCGTTCCAATCGCCTCCCAGTATGGGTACACTCTCTTTTGGAGTTCGTGCAAGCTCATTTTCCAAATCTTTCCTGAACTTTTCAATTTCCTCAGGTCCCTTACTCCACAGGGGCTGATAGGTCGCGATGAGGCGGAGCCTGCCGATCTGCACCGCTGTGACCCGCTCGGAGAAACTTTTCTGTTGTCCGCTGGCTATCCAATCTTCCAGTAAATCGCCTAACAGGAGAACTCCACATTTCTGTGAGTGTATGACTACTGCCTGGTTTGGTTTGTCTCCTAGCCATATTATCCCCTCCTGTTCCGATCGTATTTCGGAAATCATTACCGCCTTCCACTATTGCTGTCTTGCATGTTCTACTGCTCTTCTAAGGCGGCTGCGATTTTGATCTCTATGGAGATGCCTTGTAGGTTCCACGTCACTATTCTCCTTGTTTTTTGGGGTTTGTGTTTGGTGCGTTCGGCTCTTCGGTTTTCTTGTATTGTCTTTTTTTGCCTTCTGCGCGTTTCCTTGTGATCTTCTGTCGGGTGTCTTCGCTTCCCCCTGCGGACTCTGTGAGATCTCTCTGCTCTAACTGGGACCTCAGAGCTCGGGGGAAAGTTTCCTCAGGTGTCCCAGGAACTATTGTTCCCGTCGTTTTACTGGGTTCCCTGCACTTTCTACACTCGAAAGCGTAGCGTTCCTTTCCTGCGATCTGTCGAATTTGGCCACGTGTCATTTCGCTGCATACCTGGTGTATCCATTCTATACACCATGTGCATTTGATGCTGCATCCACTGACTCTCTTTTGACATATCCCACATTCGTACGGTCCTGGGTTTTCCTCCACGTCTCCAGCCATTACTATTAGCCGGGCCAGGTGGGCTGGTTTACCTGGTCCGGCAGAGAAAAACCCGGTTTTTGTTCGGCACCTTTGATCCGCACCTTCCCTGGTCTGGGGAGGCCAAAGCCTTTGATTGTTGTGAGAGGTGAAAGGGTCGGCTGGGCCTTTTCCACTCCGTTGGCATTCGGGAGGTTGCTTCGGATTCCGTTTCCAGTTTCCATAAGTTCCTTTTTCAGGTGCCCCTGTGTGAATCTTTGCCGCACAGAATGAATCGTGCGTCCCCACTTGCTCCAGGGGGAGGAGTCCACACCAGCAAGCCTCTCAGAGAAATTCGAGCAACTAGAAAGCCATCGTCTGTGTCCATTTTCATAGAAAACACTTTCTTAAAAAACTTCATTTCATTACTCTCTTCAATGTGTTTTTTTTGTTGCGATGTAAAGGACACTCAGTCCCGTTAAACCTCTCCAAGTTTTCCATACTTTGGTTTTTGTGTTCAGAGGCAACGCCGCACAGCCAAGCTTCTTTCCACGTAGTGTTGCCTTTGTGTTCATCTGCACAGTCACACATGATCCGCTAGTGAGAAATTCCTTTCTAAAAAAGCTGAGCTCTTACTCTGGGTTGAGTTGGGAATCAGACCTACTTGTCTTTTGCTACTAAGTTCATTCAAATTCCTCATTCTAAACGTTGCCACTACAGCTTGATTTGGTCTTTTCGATCTAGAAAAATCGGCATCTTTGCTAGATTTATCAAGATCTTAATAATATAATTTTTTTCATACTTCCTCGCTGGGTACATGATTCGAATCAACCCGTCGCTGAGGTCGATTGTGACGTCAAAGTTCTGCGCAAAGTTGCGTCCTAAGATGAACTGGTCGGACTCGTCCAATTTCTCGACAACTAGAAAGCTCCTCCAGAGATGCCTTCCTCCCAGTTGCAGCTAGATGATGGATGTCCTTCCCGCCACGTAAACTGCACCCTGGCTCCAAATCTGACCTATCAATACCCATGTCGGTCCAGGTATGCCGCTGGATCAGCTTCGCAGCCAATAAGGACTGCACTCTGCTCAAGCATGGCACTGTGTTCAATTCGTCGTACTTTGAGCTCCTCTTTTCAGATGTAAATCCGGCCTACTTGATCACTTGCATTCGTCACATGAGCCTTCGTGTAGATGTTTGCCCCATCGACATTAGTCAGATTTGGGTATGGGTCATAGACCTCCATATAATGTCCGTCCACCCCCATCAATCTCGGTCCACCTGTTGTGAGTAATGCCTTCACAGCTCTGGAGTCCAACTTAGAATTTTTTTTCCGCGAATAATCTGCGTAGTTGTCCAGCTGTACCAGGGTAACTTCAGACGACTCACTCAAATCTTTCGCAACCCGATGACCAGCAACCGATATGAATGACTCTATCTTGCTTCGTTCTATAGCCATTCCAAAGCTCTTTACCGAGATGGCATTCAATTTCCATCCTCGACTTTTAGGTTTCTCATTGTCTTTCGCTTTCACGGTCTCTCGCTTTCACGCTTTCCCGAGGTATCCAGTTTTTCGCACAACTCCGTATTTTCCAGTTCAGTCCCCACTCATAGTTCAACTTCTTTCGTAGCTAACTCTTGTTGAACCTTCTGTAATGTGGTCCGAGTCGCTAGGTCATAATGCATCTTAAGCGTTATAGCTGGACGGCCTCTAGATTCGAGGTAATCGCGCCATCTGGCAGGTCGTCACCTTCTTGGATGTGAGGTTGCCTTGTGACACCTGTTTCATCCGCGACGCAGCTTTGTTCATTAGGCGTGCTCGACTAGTTTTTACTCCGGAAAGCGCCTCCTAATGGCGGGAGTGTTTCGCGTCTGCTACTGCATCCCATGAATGAGTCTGATCTAAAGTGGCCTTCTAGATAGCAAAAAAAACATCTTATTCATATTTCAGTTTAAGCCCTCTCTCAAAGATCATGGTCTTCATCCGTTGCATCTAAGTCGTCAAGTAAGCAGCCGATTGCCTTCATGCTGTGTTTGTAAGTGGAATAAGCTGACACGCGATGGTCCAGCGAACTGCCTTTTGTCCATGTCATCACGAGGTTGATGCCAGCCGGAATTCGTGCCGGTATATATTCCACTATAATTGCCGTAATTTTCGTGGCGATTCTGAGCTGTGGGCTTTATGAGCAGATATTGGCACGATTTCATGAATAAATCATCGGGCGTAGGCACAGAGTCCGCTGACAAGGTAAAATGGTTGAGCAAAAAGGGGTTTTCAGATCCTCACTTCTTAACCCATCATGAATTTCGAGGCTATGTCTAAGTTCTTTTATGGGATTCTCTCACCAGGGTTACTCCTCCTTCGCAGCAGCTCGAGGTCATCGAAAAATTGTCAATAGATCATCATCCTTCAGCGCTTCATTTCAAAATTCACCATCACCTGATAACCCTACACACCCGAGCCAAAACGAATCAGCAAAATATCAAAGATCTTACGAGCACGTTCTCGCTCATTTGTTCTTTATGCCATAACACAGTTCAGGGCCGTGCCTTCCAGATTGCTCGTCAGTGCGCTAAATTCTTGCTTCTTTGAGAGGTTTTTTTCTTCAAGTGCAACTTCATCACCTCTATCCAGTTATCAATGCGGCCATCTGACTCATCCTTGTACGACTTCGGTTTCTTGAATGTTCTTCGTGATCTTTTTCCTCTCTCGGTAGATTTCGAGAATTTAGTGATGAACGTCTCAAGGGTCCTCTTAAGTGGCTCAAACATTGTTGCATACATCGTAGTGTCATTTCAAGATGGTGGTCAAGTCTGGAACCAATCTGACGTGAGGCACTGTGGGCAAACAAGTCCCCGATAATGCTTCCACCTCTAGCGGGATTGGATCCGTCCAACCTGGCCTCGATGGAGCTGCACTGCGTCTCTCCCTTTGGTTAGAATCAAAACTTGTTCTCGATCTCGAGATGCCTCAGTATGTCTGGAGGCTCTCAACCCGTCAATTGGACGACGCGAATTATCCCTCGGATTTGATTGATTTTCTCGGTTGTTGCTGCTTGAAAGCTCATCAAGCTTCGGCATCATGAGATCAGCCTTAGCGTCCAATCTACTCTCCAAGGTACTCATCGTTTGAGCATAGGTGGTGTCAGGATCGTTCATCAGGTGCTCTAACTCTCGTGTCATTCTGCGGTCTTTTTCTTCAGATTCCTTGGTGGCCTGAGCTAAACTCTCCACAAGGCGCTGATCGGTGATCCGAGCCGGCTGGACTTGATCACATTTGGCCTGTTATTTTGCGTCTGCTAGCTCTACTCTTAGCCTCTCATAGCCCTGTTGAGCCCTCGCTTCTACGCGGTTGATTCTTTTTGTCATATCTTTCCGTAGTTCACCAAGATCTGTCATCACTTCGGCAAACGTGCCTCTCACATCACTGGCCGAGCTCAACCCTGTGGTCAGATCTAGAGACGACGACGCTAACTGAGGTTGCATCCTAGTGCTCCATGATGCTCCGCCTCTCTGCGTGTCCATCAACGTTCACATCGTTATTCCATTCGACACCGGTCTTGATGGTGAAGTGGACATAACTTTCTTGTTCTTCACCTGCTTCGAGCTAGGAGTGAAATCCGTGTCCGAATGCATGAATCCCAGATGGTCAAAGCCAGAGGATAGTCCATCAGATTCGAGCGAAGTCAAGCGTTCATCTTACAACGTCTTGAAACTCTTTTTGCTTTCGACTTGATTGTTTTTCCCTTGGACTTATGCTCAACAACGACGCGTTCTTACTCTGCTTGGCCAGAGAGGATTGTTCCTTTGTCCGACTATCGCTCTCGGTCTCCAATCTAGACGTCCTCTTGAACAACAATTCCTCTACAGCATTAGTCTCAGAACGCTCTGGGGTCTTCCAAGATGCTTCAACTTTTTCCTGCTCAAAGTCGTCGGTCGGCAGATTTTTCTAGATCGTCATGATGGTGTCGGTGGGGTCGGAATAACGTTTATTCCTCTTCCTCGAAGATTTCGGGTGGTGTCATGTTTGCCGTCCCGGCCACAACGCTCCGCCCTTGATCACAATCTAGATTCGTTTCGCTTCTTAGTTTCATTCCGCTCACTAAAAGATCACCGCAATCCTCACTCCTTGCCTCACTATTAGGAACTTCGGCGGCACTACTGGCAGAAGATTGGCTGCGCGGCGAATTGAAGACCCACATTCTTCTTTCCGTGCTAAGCTTGGGAATCCTAGTCGCTTCTCCTAAGTAGTCTTCCCGTCCATATTTTGTAATAAATGAGGTTACAAAAAAACTGACGGTAGTGCACAAGTTCCAAAAAAAATTATGCGTGCCTATGTACTCAATTCTTTCAAAAATAAAACTAATTTATGATCTCATACAAACTCTATGAACGAATCATTTGAGAATAAACATTGGGTTTGCCCAGTATTGAGTTATTTTTAATTTCGCTCAAATACTCAGCTTACAATATTTTGCAAAAATCAGCTAGATACAATAATCAACACACGAAACAACATTAACAACA